ATATACAATCAGAGATATGATAAATTGTGGTATAAAGGTGTATTAAGAATTATAATGCAAAAAAACAATAAGAGAGCTCATGTATAATGGCATAATTTGGTGTGAACATACTTTACATACAGAGTTATGAAAAATTGTGTTATGAATGGATAATTATGAATGTAATACATTCCACTACTGTCATGTATGTAATAAATAAATAAATAATAAAATAAAGTAAAATTATGCTTAAATAGGAAAGATAAATAGAAGACATAGGTGAAGTATGAATGAACAAATAAAATGGCAAATAAATACATCAGGAAAGCACTCTTATTTAATGCATGACTTTCTATTCTAGGGGGATTCTGGAAGTCCTCTGATATGCAATAACATTTTCATTGGTGTCACTTCCTTTGGAAAATGTGGTAACTCCAAGAAACCTGGTGTCTACATTCTCCTTACAAACAAATATCTCAACTGGATAAAGAAAACCATTGCAGGAGCCATATGACATGGCTTCTTCAAAACAGACATCTGAGGTGACTTCCAGGAGACTCCAAGAAAAGGGGGCTTAAACTTGACCTGTCCTAAGAAGCACCTCAGAGAGCCTCCCAACTTTGTGCGTGAATTATAGTCTGTCTGAAGAGCCATCAGTCAAAGAAGTGGCTTCCTGCCGTCACTCCGGCATGCTTTGCTGAATTGCATCTTCTTCGCACTTATTCTCTTTCCATAGCAAGAGACATCCTTTGGGGAAAAGTTCCTCTATTCAGAAACCCCTTGCTTTATTCAAAATTTGAGGACTGTCCCTGTTGAAAAGAATCTGATCCCAGAAAAAAAAACAGAATATACTTCAACTTTCCAAAATTCCTGTGACCCTTAGAATTTAGAGCTTGAGATTTTATTCAATATGGAATTATGAAAGAGATGGAGGGGTATTTTTATTTCTTACTTTATACTTCTATACATTTGAACTTTTTACTAAATTCTAAATATAAGACAATAAGAAAGATTCAGTGTATGTTTTAGATATTTGAAAAATGTGAAGTTTCAAGCAAGCAATAGTTCAGGGAAATTGTATCATTTATTAGTTACAAATAGAGTAAAGTTTCATCTGCCAGTAGGCCTCAGTTCATTCAACTTAGAAAGAAGTTCTAAGTTCATTCAAAATAGAAAGAAGTGGATTGGGTCTTGGCTCTACACATGAGCACTAAACTTAGTTCTGTGTTAATAAATTGATACACAGCAAAGAAAACTGACTTCTTTTATCATTTACCATTTGTATCTTATCTTTTTGTTTTGCTTTTTCTCCAAAGAGCTAACTTACAATAAAGCCACACTTTAATGATTCTGATTTGTCCAATTTAATTCATCAAACATTTCTTAAGGGCTCATATGCACCAGGCACTATGCCCAGCTCTGTAAATTCAGAGGGGGCTAAGTCATGATCACCATCCTCAAAGGCTCCAGGTCTAGATGAGGGAGAGACATAAATAAAAGGATACCTACTTCAGGTTCTGAAGAAAATGTAACAAAGCATCCTAATCACCTCCTCAGATCATATATGTTATAATGGATTTACATGAGTTGTAATCACATAAATAAATAAAGAACACAGAATATATAAGAACTTATACCACAATAATAAAAAGATAAATAACCCAATTCTGAAACAAATGATTTGAATAGATATTTTACCTTAGATATATGAATGCAAATAAGCACATGAGAAGCTCAATACCATTAGTCATTAAGGAAATGTAAATCAAAACCACAATGAAATACTATTTCACACCCACTAGAATAGCAGTTATCAAAAAAAAAACAATATTGGTATGATATAGGGAAATTAGAACCTTCATAGATTGTTAGTGAGAATATAATATTACACAGCCACTTTGGAAAACAGAAGTTCCTCAAAATGCTAAATATATACTTACTGTGTAATTACTCAGATACCCAGTAATTCTACTCCTAGATATAGACCCAAGAGAAATAAAAAAACATTATCTGTATTAAGAACTTGTACATGATCATCAAAGGAAACAATTGAGAGCATGAAGAAAGCCTACAGAATGGGAGAATATCTCTGTCACCTGCTCCTCATATATGGCATTAATATCCACAATATATAAAGAACTCAAAAAACTTAACACAAAAAAACCCAAATAATCCAATCAATATATGGGCAAAAGAACTAAACAGAAACTTCTCAAAAAAAAGGAACACTAATGGCCAACAAATATATGAAAAAATGTCCAACCTCTCCAGCAATTAGGGAAATGCAAAGCAAAACTACATTGAGATCTCATCTTATTCCAGACAGAATGGCAATTATCAAGAATACAAATAGTAATAAATGTTGGCAAGGATGTGGGGGAAAAGGTACACTCACATTGTTAGTGGAACTGCAAATTATTGCAACCACTCTGGAAAGCACTATGGAGATTCCTCAAGAAACTAGACATGGAACCACCATATGACCCAGCTATCCCACTCCTCAGTATATATCCAAAGTACTTAAAATCAGCATTCTACAGTGATGCAGCCACTTCAGTGTTTATAGTAGCACAATTCACAATAGCCAAGCTGTGGAACCAACCTCTGTGTCCTTCAAGATATGCATGGATAAAGAAAATGTTGTACATATACACAATGGAGTATTACTTGGCCATAAAGAAGAATGAAATTATGGCATTTACCAGTAAATGGATGGAAGTAAAGACAATCATGCTAAGTGAAATAAGCCCATCCCAAAAAGTTAGAGGTCAAATGTTTTCTCTGATATGCAAAAACTAATCCAAAATAAAGGAGTAGGGAATAAAAGGGGAAAAAAGGAAAGGGAAAAAATGCAAAGGGAATTTTATCCAAATAGAGGAGAGCTCAATAGAGTAGATGAAGAGAATTAAGGAGGAAGGGACAGGAAAAGGGAAGAGCGGTGGACTGATTCTGACTGAGCTTCCGTATGTGCGTGCATGGATGTGGCACAGTGGGTCCTGCCATTGTCCTGGTTGTTCCACAGGACACTTAAGTTTTTAAAAAAATTAAACTGTAAATGGATAAAAAAGGATTAGTGGGGTGGAGGGAGGGAGCAGGGGGGCTGGGAAGTGCTGGGGACTGAATTAGAGTGGGCTCTGTTCCATGGTTTTGTGATTATGTCAGGCTGTATCCTGGATGGTGAATATAACTAAAAATATTTTTCAAATGGAAAAAACAAACTTGTCCATGAATGTTCATAGAGGCAGATTCATAATAACTGAAAAGTCGATATAAGCCAAACATTCATCAACTGAAGAATGAATAAATAAAATGTTATTTCTATTCAATGGAATATTATTCATCAATAAAAGGAAATGTAGTGATACATGTTACAATATGGATGAACCTCAAAAACATTATGCTAAATGAAAAAGCCAGTCACAAAAGACTATATTCTATATGGTTCTATTTTTTTGAAATGTCCAAATAGGCAAATCTATAGAATGTAGGTTAGAAGTTGCCTAACAAGAATAACAGCTAAGAGGTGCAAGTCTTCTTTGGGGATGGTGAAAATGTTATAAATTAGATTATGGTGTTTTAGTATATTTACACAGCTCTGTAAATATACTGAAATCCATCGAAATGTGCATCTTAAATAGATGGACTTTATGGTATGCAAATTATATCATAAAGCTGTTAAAATCAACATAAATGGAAAATGGCAACCACAGGCAGGCACATAAAACCAGAATTGTCAATGTTTCCTTTAAGAAATTTTTAGTAGGTGCAGTCAATTAAAGTTTGACTTTTTAAAAGTGCACTAAAATTACTCACCAAAACCAGAAGCGTATCCCACTCCTGGTACTGAAAATGATTAAACTTTGATACCATAGTAAGATCTGGAAAAAGGAAACGGGGTCTCCAAAAGGCTCCCTTGTAAGGTCATATGATTTCTAAAAAAGTAAACACTAGATCTGAAGTCATGAGAGTTTTGATTTCTTTACAAGAAAGGAGAGAAAGAGAGGAAAGGAAAGGAAGGGAGAGGAAGGAAGAGAGTTACCACTAGGGTAACGGGTCAAGGGTGCTAACCATGGGATTGGCAGCTCAGCACCAGCTGGACTGACAGAACACATGACCACATGTATCACAGTAGAGACCACAACCTCTGCTCAGAAAAGGCTAAGGCATTCAGATAGCAAGCATATCCCAAACTGTTCCTCCAGGGACTGAGGTTGATTCTTTTCAGAGTGAGACATTCTCCAGTCCTGGAACAAAATATTCATGTCCAACTCCCATTTTCCTTCTCAGCTAAATCTGGAAAGAAGGATAGATGGAGGGAGGGAGGAAGGGAGGGAGGAAAGAAATAGGTAGGGAGGAAAACTCGACATACCTTTAGTATCTAGAGTTGTGACCATAAAATGAATGTAGGCACACAGGAGGGCTGAAAAGGACCAGCAGTTCCTACACCACCATCCCATGACCCCAACCCTTCCACAGACTCTAGGTAGAAGCACAATAAACCATTCTTCCCAAAGCAGGGAAGAGAAATCAAGGCAAGAGCTTAAGTGTACATAAGCCTCCCCCTGACCTCCTCTTGCACTTGACCTACTAATTCTTATATAACCCAAGGAGATAGCTAGGAAAAAATTGACCAGTGACCAATTTAAGGATTTTTTTTAAAAAGCTCTAATTTTTAAGTCTTAAAAAAAACTTTCATTCATGGATACTAAAATTAATATTGCTGATGATGAAAAAGGATTTAAAATCTTAGCTGAGACATTTTGAAGTCCCTTCTGGTGTACTGTGTTCTGATAGGAATGTGGCTCCCTGACGCCCTGCTCTGTGGAGTAGGATGGATGCTCTCCCTTGGCAGCATGCCCACTAGCCACCTTCACTGGCTGCTCTCACTTGAGTTTCATTTTCTAATGTAAACTTTGAAATTTCAAAGAAAGAGGGAAGGAAGCCACATCCTTTGAACTCTGTTATATAAGACAGAAGTAGTCAAGAGCTGAAAACAGATTTTCATGTTGATTGATGTGGGACACCAGCCACAATGAGGAACTCCCGTACATTTCTCGCATCTTCTCTCTCGATTGTCATTTTTCTCCTGCTAATTTCTGAAGGTAAGACTGATTCTTTTCATTTCCATCACAACCATTAAGCTAAATGGAGCAGAGAATCTTTGATAATATTACCTAAAATATTATACTGAGAAAAAAATTTTCTCTAAGTCTTAAAACGTTTAGCATTCTTGTGTGTATGTGTGTGTATATTTAGCATTCTTATGTGTATGTGTGTGTGTTATAAATATTTCTTTATTTTGAAGAAAAATATTCTTTTCTCTTTATAATTTCTTTTTTAAAAAAAAAGACAGACTCACTAACATTTATTGCTGCCAATCTATAGTTTGGAAATTGCCAAAACTGATCATGTAAAAATGAGCAGACAACCAAACAAAATACTCTTGAGTTAGGAAAACAAATTGTACCTTTTGGGAAAAGAATAGTAGTACCTTAGTCAGTTCAGCCTTTCTTGCTGCAGAAAATGCATAGATTAGTCTTAAAGACAATTAAGACAAAGCTGCCCGAGACACAGAGGTAAATCAGGGCTGCTTAGAATTCAGGAGTTATTTCTCTAGGCTAGATAGTCTCCAGGGGCATAGATCAGGATGTTGGGAAAGTCCTTACATCAGCTCAGGAGAGCTGGAGTGTTTTCTATTCAGTTACCTCTTTGGTGTGCTAAATGGTAACCAATATCTCTGCTTTTGTGTGAGTTCCACACACAACATGGGTTGTGATGCTGTAAAATGTATAGTGTTGTCACTGGAAGGCTATTAGTTCCTCAGTAGTTCTAGATTTTCCTTGAGGAACCTACCAGAAAATAAGAACTACCTGGGGCCATTCTTAAATATGGAGGCAGCCAGCATTGCCCCAAAATCCATCAGATTTGGTAGAAATGGAGAGTAGGGGCTTATGTAACAACCTGAATGCCAGGAATTTTCAGAAAGTTTCCTGCTTTATCTTGCACCTAAAATTTTTTTTAAAAAATTCAAAAATAACAATGTTGCAGAACATTTGGGACCACACAGTAAGCATTAAAAGTGTGGTATGTTATGACCACACTCAGGAGTGTTAAGCAAGAAACAGTGAAAATAGGACCTTTTTAATCCAACTATCTCTTTTGTTCAAAGGAAATAACAAAAGCAACTTTCTCTGCTCCACTCTGTTTCCTGTGTTTGAGAGCATAGTATTGTGCCCGTAGAGGGAAGAGACACAGCAGAGCAGGGCATAATGCTCTAAACCAAGTGGTCTCAACCTCCTACTCATAGAACAATCTGGAGAACTTTTTTAAAATACTGACTTCACACTTGCCTCATAAATTCTAATTTAATTTAATTCTGAGGTCACAGAGTTTTCATTATTTCCCACTTACTTTAACCCCAACCCAGAAGAAGAAATACAATTGATAGAAAATATATGAAAAAAAATCCAACATCTCTAGCAATTAGGAAAATGCAAATCAAAACTATATTGAGTAGTGAGTTTCATCTCACTCCACTCAGAAAGGCAATTATTATAAATACAAGCAACAATAAATGCTGGCAAGAATGTGGGGGTGGGGAGATCGACTCATACATTGCTAGTGGGACTGCAAATAGGAAAGATAATAGTATGAATTGGACATTATAACCCTATGTGCATATATGATTATACAACTATTGTGAACCTACCTCATATATAACCAGAAAAACAAGAAGTTATACTCCATTTATATATGATGTGTCAAAATGCATTCTACTATAATATATAACTAATTAGATATGTGTTTCTGAGGCCAGTATATGTGTTCAACCAATCATAGAATTCTTCAAAGAAGAGTATTTATTGAGTTTGTGATTTTTGCAGTCCTGAAAATCCACAAGTCCAAAAGTGCACCTCTGAAATCTATCTATATCTGACTCACCCTAGGGGAAAAAAGGGAATGTGACTGAAGTTCTTTTAAAGTGTCCTAACCTTCTTATTTCTAAAGCCTAGAATTTTGCCTTCCTATTTCCCTTGTGGAAAATAGAGCCCTCGTGGTCATTCCTTTCCCCTTACCTTCACCCTCATCAAACCTTATGAAAAGCTTCTATGTTAACTTTCTGTTGTTAACTTTCTGTGAATTTGGCAGTGAATTAAATTTAAATATGGAATAAGAGGCACTGTGACCTATTCAGGAAATATGAGTCTCAGCCAACAGTCAAGAGAAATATTTTAGATTTTCAAGAATATCTGGTATAGAAAGTGGAGAGCCAAGAGTATGTGACATAAATACAGGTCCTCTTGACTAACGTGTATGATATGCCTGTGTTTAGGTCTCATTTTTCTCTATACTCCTAACCTACCATCATGGAAATTTTACTAAGACAGAATTCTCTAGTCGTGGCATCTCTCTCCCTTTCCCCCTATATCACTGGAAAGATCTTAGATTAAACCATGTGTGTTGGCTTTGAGATTGAAGAGAATCCTTCAGTGTAATAGATGATGTTCTCAACCCATGAAGGAGCACAATGCAATTCAATAGCCTCACAGTAACCAAAGATCATAGCTAAAAGGTGGTGATATCAGGTTGTGTGTTGTGTTTTTGAAAGGGCCTGGGTTGAAAAGGTAAGTCCTCATGCTTCCAAAAGCCCCCTCTGCTTCCCCAAACTAACACTCAGCCCACAAGTCAGCACTACCACAAGCATGTTCCAAAGCAGCTGCTGGAATAGACCAAAACTCAGTTCTCTGCCTTCTACAGGGCCTGAGGTTAGAGGTTGGTGATAGATTTCCAACCTGTTATCCCTGGAACTCCAAGGGCATGGCTTCTGTGGCCACAACAGCAGGGAGCTTTCAGACAGTTCAACAGGACAAGATTTACAGTCAGATGTCTACAGGTCTATGTGGAGAAAAACAAGGGACAAATGCTCCCATCCATCCTTTCGCTAAGTGGGAAAAGCATGCTGGTGTCAGAAACACAGCTTTATGAAGAGCTCTTTGTGATGGGCATGGATCTGATTCACCTTTTTCTTTTGAGCAGATGGCTGTGTAAGAATTATTGGAGGAAATGAAGTAACTCCTCATTCAAGACCCTACATGGTCTTACTTAAACTTGACAAAAGCAACATCTGTGCTGGCTCTTTGATTGCAACAAACTGGGTGTTGACTGCAGCCCACTGTATCCTGTAAGTGCTTAGTTTTTAAAAACACTTTTGTGAAGATATTCTAATTTGGAGAAATAATTAAAAAATCTCTACTAAGCCCCGGGAGATTCACATTTATTTTCAGATCACTTAAGTCTTTGGGTGTTTGCTTTAACCCAAAAGGAAATTAAGCCCAGACTTTCCACAAAGAATCAAGCCAATGTACAAACAGTATCCACAAACTCTTTCTGAAGGTATCTGCTACAGCTCCTGGGTAGAGGTACTGCAAAACATTACCACAGCAGGGAAGGGTTAAAGTTCCACTGCCCAGCGGGCTGGTAGAGCCATCAGATAAAGAAAATCTGTTTCCAATGCCTTCCTGTGTCCCTCAGTGGACCCCTCTCTTTCCTTCAGCCATCCTTTATCCCTTGTCAGCTATTACCTTGAAACTCTTCCCAGGCCTACTCTTTTCTCCACTCTCTAAACCAAGCCTCTAAACCTGGGCTGTCTAATATGAGAGCCACATGGGATCATACAGACTTAAATTAATTAAAGCTGAATAAAATTGCAAATTTTCTTCCTCAGTCCCAGCCTAGCCACATTTGAAGTCCTTAGGTACCACGTGGGGCTATTAGCTACCATACAGGACCATGCAGATTTAGACAGCTCCCTGTGCTCTAATGAAAAGCACATTTCTAATGTCTTGAGTGAGACCAATCCCAGCTGATATGATGGTAAAAGGACAGCATGAATATCAGTTGGCATAATTTATAACAGACTGTGAATGGGAATAGCACCAAGTATTAATTGTATTTTTAAGAGTATTTTGATTTTGTTAACCAGAATGGAACTTGGGCCCCTCGTTCAGATCACCATCCCTGCAATACACACCTCCTCAACACCATGCAAACAGGGGCCTTTCTGGAGCCATCTGTTGCTAGAAGTTGTTCTATTTAAGACGAGTTCATTGTTCTTTTATAAAGATCTCTTCCATGCCTTAACCTACGACTATATCTAGTGCCTTTTGCTTCTGTCACTGGATTACTGAAATTTTTCTTTTCCTATAGTATGCAGCCTAATTCTCTACCACAGCTTAACAGGGTGAGGGCAAACTGGAACACAGTTTGACTTTCCTGTCATGGAATTCTCATTTGTTTTTAAATGAACCTAGTTTAGCTTTTTATAAATAAGCTGGTAGATGATGATGACTATCATGGTTTGAATATGGTTTGTCCCTGAAAGGTTCATATGCTGGAAATGTGGTCCCCAGTGTGACCATATTGAGAGGTAGTAGGACTTTTAAGAGGTACTTGGATCATAGTGTTTCTACCCTCATGAAGAGATTAATGCAGCCTTGAAAGTGGACTAATTACCACGAGAGCAGTTATTATAAAGCAAATTCAGCTTCCTCAACTCACTTTCTGCTTCCTCCATTCTGTACCTAAACTTCCACACACCTGCTCATCTACACATGCCTGCTTCCCACTTTTCTGCCATGAGTTGACATGGCATGAGGCCCTCATCAGAAGCTAAACAGATGCCATGCTCTTAGACTCCAAAACTGTGAGTAAAAGAAAACCTCTTTTCTTTATAAGTCACTCAGCCTTGGGTGTTTTGTTACAGCAACATAAAACTAAGACAATAATGACAATGGATTCATAAGCATCTTACTTTCTACCCTTTAAAGCACACATTTTATTTTGAGCCATGAAGTATTTCTACAGAAATATATTTACAAACAATACAATGAAATTGATCAACACATAATATGCTCTGGTTCTGATTAAAGAATAAACCCAGTAAATAGTGTTGTTTCCATTCCAGGAGCAAAAGATCTCAGATCATTCTTGGGGCTCACTCAATTACCAAGCATGAGACAGAAAAGCAGATAATGTCTGTCAAGAAAGAGTTTCCCTACCCATGCTATGATAAATACACACATGAAGGAGATCTTAAACTTCTACAGGTATGTGCCTTTGATCGTGTTCTTTTGTTTTAGAATCCTCTTCAATATGGCCACCTTCATAGAAGCCTTTCCTCAGTGCCTCTACTGTATAATATCATGCAAGGGGGTCACAGTGGGTTGGGATAGAATTTCAGTTAAAAAAGTCAATGTTTGTCAGGCACAGTGGCACACACTGTAATCCTAGCAGCTGAGGAGGCTGAGGCAGAAGTATTGCAAGTTCAAGGCCATCCTCAGAAATTGAGGTGCTAAGCAACTTAGCAAGATCCTGTTTCAAAATAAAAAGGGCTGGGTATTAGCCTCAGTGGTTAAGCATCCCTGGGCTCAATCCTTGGTACAAAAAAAAAAAAAAGTCAATGTTTATCTATTTCTATTAACTCATTATGCTTGTCATCCAACAGCTGAAGAAACATGCAAAAATTAATAAAAATGTGGCTATCCTTCAACTACCTGAAAGGGGGGACGATGTGAAACCAGGAACCGTGTGTCGAGTTGCAGGGTGGGGCATGGTTCACAATAAGTCACCTCCATCAGATACTTTGAGAGAAGTCAATGTTACCATCATAGACAGAAAAATCTGCAATGATAAAAATCACTATGATTTTAAACCTGTGATTGGACTGAACATGGTTTGTGCTGGAAGCCCCCGTGGTGGAAAAGATTCATGCAATGTAAGTAAAATAAGATCTCACACATTAGCTATGGAGTAAGGCATGCAGATACAATGTAATGGCCTGCTTTGTCTTGTCACAACTTCTACAGGGTTTTAGTGATTTTTCAAAAAAAACCCCAGTGAAATATATTGATGTTCTCAGCTTAAATGAGCCATTGAAAATAAGAAGTTCTCTGCTAGTGCATGGTTGACCTACTACATCATCCTGGTTTTGTATCAAAAACCACTAAGAAGCAATGCTTTTTTTTCTCATTTTTCATATTACCTTAAATAGATCTAAACTTGAAGATATATACCACACTGAGGAGAGCTTAAATCAGGACTCCTCAAAGGCCTTGGGTCTCCTCTCCATCCTCAGTACCACCCCAAAAGTTCCTCTGTCATTTAACCTGAGCCATCTTGAAAGCCTGTCATTCCCAAGCCTGTCTGAGGACCTTAGGCTAAACCTCAGAGCTTCCTAGAACTGAGTAAATTCCCAGCAAACAACTTCCAAGTCTGAGCCACACCACAGAAAATGTAAGCTTCTAGGGACAGACTCTGTTTAAAGACAGGAACAGAAAAAAATACTTTCCAGATTGTTTAAGCTTAGGTACTGGTTTGTCATTTCCCACCTTTCACCAAGACACTAGGAACTCTCAGAAGTGTGTGCAATGCATGACTAGAGAATTACCAGACACTGAGAGAGCCAGAGGTCTCCGTCTCCCAGGTACCATATCCTGCCTTCAGGACCAAGGCTAGCCAGATCCCAGGGAAAGATGGCATTTGTCTTTAGCACTCTTCTGTACTCTCTTCTTTAGCCTCCCTCCCACGTACTTCAACATACTCCACTTTGGGCACCCAGGAACCCAGAACTTCCTACTTTTGGATCTCATAGACCACATCCTGAAGCTACAGCAGTCTCCCCAAATGCTAGTCCCCTCCTACCAGCCAATCCCTACCAATGGCACTTAGCAATCCCACCCTACTCTCTCAATACCCTGGGCTGCTCATTGATAAGTTAAGCATAAAAGACTAATTCTGCAAATTCCAGGTGCTATAACAGGCAGGGGAAATCAATCTATTTAGGGAGGAATCCAATTTCTCAGATGGTTCCTTATTTTATGCAGTCATAAAACCAAGCTTCCAAAAAAGAATTTTTGTTTTGTTTTTGTGTGAAGACAGTTGTCTGCTAGAGGAACCAGAAAACAAGGCTTTTATTTTTGCCTTATTGTATCATCTACATTTGAAAACGTATCCCTTGAGTCACTAAGTTTTTAGGGGAGATGACAAATAGGAGGGGGCCTGGAAGCTACTATTTGTGCTAGAAGCAGAGAATCAACCTCAAAATTTCCATTTTCATTGGTATATAAATAAACAAAGTTTATTTACATACCGTTTTAAAATATTAAAATAATTCAAAGCATTTTGATTTTTTAAGCATTAATTTTCAGTTAAGTCAAGGTTGTTCTTTTTTAATATTTATTTTTTTAGTTGTAGCTGGACACAGTATCTTTAATTAATTTATTTTTATGTGGTGCTGAGGATCGAACCCAGGACCTCGCCCATGCTAGGTGAGCGCTCTACTGTTGAGCTACAATCCCAGCCCAAGGTTGTTCTTACCTCTATAATAAATGCTGTAGAATTTCCTCCATTTCTCTAGTCGTGTTTCACAAACTGACCCCAGTCCCAACCCCTCTTGTCTTCCCCCAGGGAGATTCTGGAAGCCCTTTGCTATGCGAGGGCATTTTCAGAGGCATCACTGCCTTTGGCCTTCAGGGGAGATGTGGAGCCCCTCAAGGGCCTGGTATCTACACTCTCCTCTCAGAGAAACACCTCAACTGGATAATGAAGACTGTGAAGGGAGAAGTTTAGTTGATCGTAATTTATTTCACTTGCTGTCACTTCCTTAATCATATGGCAAATAAAATCAACTTGTATGACTGTTTCTTTCCTATAATGTTAGTGGGTTTGAATGTGTTCCCAAATTTCATGTGTTGGAAAGCTCCAATGCAACTGGATTGGGAGCTGTGGTCTAATAAAAGGTGATTGGGTTATGAGAGCTTTGTCCTCACGAATGGATTACTGTCATTATTATGGGAGTCAGATGATGACCATGAGAGTGGGTCTGTCATAAAAGCAGCCCCCTCTTCTTTCTTGGTCTCTTGTGGTTGTCACTTTCACTTTCTGCCATAGGGTGACACCATGTAAATACCCTCACCAGATGCCAGTGCCATGCATTTGGACCTCCCAGCCTCCAATACCATGAGCTAAATGAACTCATATTATTTATAAGTTACCCAGTTTCATGTATTTTGTTATAGCAGACTAAAACATGGAGAAAAAGGAAATGCTACAGAAGAGCTATTTTAGAGGAAATAATATGCACACTTAATATAACACATAGCATGTAGGAGGATTTTAATAAGAATTTTTCAAGTGAATGGGTTGAGTTTGAGCTAAGATTGAACTCTTTCAAAAAGGAAATATCTAGAAGCAGTAAGAAATATGAATTTGGAACTTAAGGGAAAAGTCAGATGGGAAAGAACCAAGGTTTTCTATAGATATTATTCTGACTTCAGCAGTGAAAATAGATCTTTAAAAAGGAGAAGGCAGAGAAGGAGGAAGTCTGGGAGGAGGGAAGAGAAGGAAGGAGGGAGAGGGAAGCAGAGAGAAGACGTCAAGATGATCTCTAGGAGATGCAAAGAAAGAAGCAGGGCTAATAAAGTAGCCTGAGAGAGAAGGTCAGAGGAGCAGGCATTCACACTGGAAAGAGCCCTTCATCATGTTGGATACTCATAACAATCACGTGGAGAACAAAAACCAGTATCACTACTCTCACTTAAAAGGAAGAAACTGCATCTAGGAAGGGTTGGGTGACTGGCAGCACTTCCACACGGTGGCCGTCCCATCAGCTGCAGCAGAAAACACCTGGGTCTGGTCTGGACTCAAGGCCAGATGCAGCACTCTGCCTCTGTGACCTGGGAGAAGAAGAACAGTTCATATTCTCATATTCTATGTGTCCAGGGATGTTGTTAAAGACTGTAGGCAACCTCATGTGGGGCCATACATTTCATCCAGAGGTAAAAGGCCTCCCCATTCCACCACTCAGAGCTGGCTCCGGTAAAGGCATGCTGGGAAACATCAGCCAGGTCTGACTCAGATGCAGCTCCAAGTGTCTGAAGTTTTGACAAGCATTTCTCCTCTATTGCTCCTCTCCCATATCAATATCCTGGGGCTACCATAGCAAATGACCATAAACTGTGTGGCTGAGAACAAGGGAAGATGATCCTCTCAGTCTGGAGATGGGAAGTCTAACAGGTAGGGGTCAGCAGGCTGCATTCCCTCAGGGGACTGGGGTATGGCTTCTGCGCCTTGGCACTCCTGGTGTCTGGCAGCTGTTGGCAATCCTTGTTTTGTGGCCATATCACTCCAATCTCTGTCTCTGAGTTCACATAGTTCCTCTTCTGTGTGTTTGTCCTCTGTTTCTCTTATAAGAACACTCTTCATTGGACTTAGGGTTCACCTGGATAATCCAGGTTGAACTCACAGTAATTACATCAATCTACTTACTGTATAATTGGGAAATGCCATCTGTATCTCAAAGAACCACTTTTAGCGATTACCTCCCAAGTTCCAAGAATACTGTCACTAGAAGCCTTGAAATGTTGTTTTTGTTTTTGTTTTTTTTTTTTTTCATGTTGTTGTGGTCATAAATGAGACCACATATTGGCACATTTGCTATGGACTTCAGAAACCAAATCAAAGAGCAGTTCTCACATGGAAGATAGAAACTGACTACTCCTGTTTGAAAGCTTAGGAGTTACAATTATTTTGGAGGTAGGAATAATTATAAGTTATCTTTCTCCTGTAGTCAAATGGGTGAGGCCTCTTTAACTAAAATTACCCCCTACAGAATCATGACTGTGGTTAACAGTGTGAGGCTTAGCAGAGATATGACTATAACCTAGAATAGCTTTTTTTCCTCTTTGACCATTACTCACAGTCAAAATTACATTATATGCAGCAATCCTATATCTAGACAGGTAAATTTAGTGCATATCTCTAACAAAAATTTCACAAACCAACACCTATTTTTCTATTTTTTCCATTCAATTTATACTATCATATTCTATTTTATAGTATTCTATTTCATTTTTTAATTTTGACCTTAACTTATTACATTGATAGTCTAATGATTCACAACCCCAGGTTTAGAAGTCCCTAATCCAGGTCTTAGTCAAGGTCTCAAGATGAAAACACGTAGAAAGTAAACACCAGAGCAATTCCATGCCAAAGGGCTATGATCCATAGAGTGGTTCATAGAACAAGTACCTCAGGGTGCACCCCAGATTTATTTGGAAAAAATACCAGAACCTCCTCTGAAAGAATAACACTACATATAATGTATCCAAGCCTTTGAGATATCCTTAATAAAGAACTGTTCTCATTTAACCCAGAACTTCAAAGTCATCTGACCACATGATGTGTGCTTGTGTAACAATCATTGTGCTAAACACTTTTGGGAAATATTCCATATAAAAAGAACAACCAGGTTAGAAATGAAAACCAGTATCTCAGAGCTCAAAAAATATCCACATCTTCAACCACCAACATTTTAAGAGAAGAAAAGGTTAAACAAACTATTTGAAGTTTTTTCTGATAATAGTAAAAGAAATCCCAAAGAATTAAAACTAAAGTACTTAACAGCTTGTTAAGGCCATTAAAGAGAAAAAAAATGTACCTGCATGTAATCTTTATTCCAAGAATAGGGAAATTGATTCAAGTATCTATCCCATACCTCCACCTAGCTAAGGCCCTACCAGCTATTGGAATTATAAAGAACCTGGTTTTAAGGCCTGATTGGAAATATTTCTCTGAAAAATCCCAGGGAGTTCTGTATCTTATGATTTAAAATAAGGAAGGGATCAATTCATTCACCTCCTACATTTGTACCTTGTCACCAAAGTGGCTCTGTCAAAAGTTGCCTTTCTTGTTTATCAGACCACACAATGTGAGAGTTCAAGAAAAGTTCATTCTGAGGTTAACCAGGGGTCTGCAGGGCTGGCCAGCAGAGGCAGGAAGTCTATCTGATAAGAACATTTTGTTATTGCCAAATAATATTCTCACAATCTCCAAAGAGAGGTGTGGTATTAGCACTATCTAATTTTGCATATATTTGTTTTCTGTATGTCTCCTTTCACAAAGTGTAGCCGCCTCCATGAGAGTAAAACATCGTCTCTCTCCTTTACCTGCGTATCATCTGCATCCCACAATGTTCTTGGAATATAGTAGAATTGACCAGAAGACAAGGTCAAGTGGAGAAAGGAAAAAATGAGATATACCATCAGAGATCTAGAAGAGCCAGTGCTCTGCCCCTTCTTCAGCCACCACTTTTGTCTTCCTGTCTCTCAGGGCTGGGTAGAAGCAGACACCTACTTGCCCCAGGCCCCCTCTAACATTCAAGTATCAAGACCCTGAGGACAGGACCTGGTTCTTTCCTCTATCATGATAAGTCTCAAAAAAGACTCAATGTGGCAGTCATCAAGGATATAAATAATAATAAATGGGCTGGGGTTGTGGCTCACCAGTAGAGTGCTCACGTCTCACGGATGAGACCCTGGGTTCAATCCTCAGCACCACATACAAAAATAAACAAGTGAAATAAAGGTGTTGTGTCCAGCTACAACTAAAAATTAAATATTAAGAATAATAATAAATACTGGGGAAGATGTGGGGGAAAAGAAACACTTTTACACTGTTGGTGGTATTGTAAATTAGTACAACCATTATGGAAATCAGCATGGAAGTTCCTCTAAAGACTAGGAATGGAACTGCCATGCTACCTAGCTATACAACTCCTTGGTATTTATCCTAAAGAATTAAAGTCATCATACTACAGAAGCGGGGGAAAAAGACACAATAAAAGTTTGTAGAACTAAATTGAGAAAGAATAAAGGTCTGGAGCTGGGGGTTTGGCTCAGACATAGAACATATGCTTAGTACACACATGGGTTCAAATCCCAGCGCCAAAATTTTTTTTAAAAAAATAGTAGTCTGCCTTGAAAGGACAGATATTCACAGAGGAAGCCTCATGAGTTTTAGTGGCTTCCCTGCATATATCAATTTCTCACCCTTTCAGATTTCCTTGATTCTACACTGCTAAGTTTTCTTCAAAATAAGATGTTATGATGCTAAATGTATAATCCATACAAAAATACAAAAAGAAGACTTGACAATTTTAAATGATGAAAAATTACAATCAAGTTCAGAAACACTAATCTATACACTCTCTAAGGTGGGGTAGATGTAGGACTTTTTCCTCTTTTGAAATATCTACATTGAAAAGTCAGAAGGAGAAAAATTCTTCATTCAGGTTTTTTCCACCAATGATAACCCACTTTTTCATAGGTACACGGAATTTTACTTACCCATTCACTTACCAAAAAATCCACCTGACCTGGACAGAGTGGGACAGGTCCACAGAGTCACATCATTCTTAGGAGTACCTTGGCCTGTTGCAATCTCCTTTGTCTTAGGTAGCCAGATTAAAGAACAAATCTGCAATGATGACCATAAAATTTTAGCAATTTCTGATTCATTTTCAATGTACTTAAGTGGATTTTAGACAGTGTGCTCTTTCTACTACCCATCCCCCATTCGCAGCTGGTGTTAGGGAATTATATTAGTTTTAAGAAAGTTTATCCCATAGCAACAAAAGACCAAGGATATTAAGTAGGTTTAGAAACAATAAACTGATGAATTTACATGAACCAGGATCACTGGCCAGGAAGAGCCAGACTGCTGTCAAGTTCTACAATCAAAGCAATGGTGAGAAAGAAGGGAAATGGGGTGGTGGGGGATGAATTAAACTAACTTTGGACTTACAGATTAGGAGGTTTTACAAAAAAGAAACTCTTGAAGACTGAAATTCCCTATGAACTCAGTAGGTGAGGAGAAGTATATTTGGGTTCTATGCTTTATCATAAA